GTTAATAACAATTGCAATTTTTTACCTGCACCAAAATCCTTCAAAAACATTTTTCTAGAGGTGATTCCGAATCGAATGAGCTATCGTTCATATTTTTAGGACCTTTATCTCTATTTTTCATGTTTTTGAACTTGTTGATTAGACTAGTAATGAATGAATACTGACAGTATGTATGATGAAACTTGGGAGATTGAAATAGAACAAAATACTATCCACATCGATAACGCCAGAGATGAATGTCTATCATTCAGTTAACTTCACTGTAAAAAAACACAACAGAATAGTTTGAGACTCACAAGGTAATAGGTATATTCACGATAGTAAGATCGATAGAGAGATGATTAGATGAAAGGCCAAAACTATATTTAACATGTGTAGACCAAAGAGCTACTCAAAACATTGTGAAGAATACAATAGTTAAACTTTAGATGAATTGATGTGTTAAAACATTTATCACATGTAAAAGTAGAAACTTATGATTGAATAATTAAAGGAAACACGAAATAGTAAAAAAATGCAGAGAAAGAAAACCTTTTCAGCTCTCCACTTCTCCATGAATATATAAATAAATCGAAACTTTCATTAACCTTTGTAAACGTTGTGTAACTTATCACATTCGATTTCTCCGGTGTTGAATATTCAAAAAATCAGTGAATTGTCATTCAAAATATTTAGGACTCTGCTAATGAAGATTTGAAAATGATTGAAATGATTGTAAATGTTTCTCCAATATCTCTTTCAAATATGTTCTTTTGAAGAAAACTTTATTCACAAGATAGAGATACAACTGAATGAGAATGTGAAAAAAAAGAAAGGGGAAATTAATGGAATACACTTAGAATGCAATCACAATTCATTGCCTGAAAATGATGAGAAAAATAATGTCTGAAAATGATTTTTGTAGAGAAGTGAATTTTTCTTGTTTTGTTCGGGGCTTGATCATCCAAGATATTAAAAATGAATGAAATTAATCGACACAGCATGTTCTCAAGTAAAATAACAGGAAAACTGAAAAGTTCAGACTGAAAAGTTGCTAATAATATAAACTTTCGAAAAAAATTCAATTAGTCAGTAACTTGTCGTACATATAAGTTTTGCTATGAAACAAGATTGAATTAATGGAAAAGATAATTTATTATTCACCTTTAGTCTATAAATGGTTAACATTTTAGAAATCTGCCACTTATCATTCTCTAAACCTGATTTTTTTCTTCTTCCACTTTTTTTTTGGAGATATCAAACGAATATAAATGTCCAGATGACATATTTGATAACCTGAATATTACACACACACATGCAGGATGCAGTCAAGTGCATATTTCCATCTGTAACCTCTGGACTCAGAATTGCCAGCCAGGTACAATCTATTTCGAGTTGGTCAAAATACGCTTGTTACTTGTCCTGTTCATTCATTTCATGACATCCAGTTGAATTTAAACCATCTTCCACTAACCCTGATTCTGCTATATGTCTTTCCTTTATTCACGCTGTTTCTTTCATCATGCACCAGGTGGTTTTTGTACTTTACCAAAATAACTTTTTCCACAGGAACAAGTTATATGTTGCCTAACTCTTTCGTTTTTTCATAGATTTTTTTGTGTGAAAGAAATCTCAATGAATTCTGAAAGTTGTTCTGTAACCGATTTTGTTTTAACTTTCCTGATCAACTAGGAAGATGAAGTATGATGTTAGTCGATAGGAATGTGTGTTATTGTTAAGTTTGTGGGAGAGACGGATATATTACAGTTTTTTGTTTAAGGGCGAAACACAAGCACTACAGGAAAATCCTTGAGGCGCTCTTAGAGCGGTGCCTGTGCGAAAGTAGTGATTCACAATGGATTTGAATCGCTGAAGATCAAATCCATTTGGAAAAACGGATCCGAAAGTTTATTCCATATAAAAGCTGTTCTCCAAATGAAAGATTTCCCAAACAATGAAGTTCGAGGTGTACTGAGTTGAATCTCGAAACGATGAGCAGCCACACTCCGTCGGGTATTTTTGATATGTACCGCTCTTTCTTCGATGTTCCAGACTATCAAGATCGCAAGTGATGTTCTAGTCTCCAATCAGGCGGATATCTCTTTTCTGGATGGAATCCAGCAGCTTCAGGGTATGTTTGGGGGAGAAGCTCCATACATGAGAACAATACTCCAAGGTCTGATCTGAGCTTTATAAAGCATCAAAAGTTGCTGATGTGTGTACAGTTTTCTGATTCGGAACAGTGTTCCAAGCTTTGAGAAGCAGCTTTTGCAGTTTCAGCGACATGATTGTGCCAAGACATATTGGTGTCCATTTCAACCCCCAACAAAGTTATTGAAGCAGAAAGCGGAATTGTCTGACCTGACATTATTATATCCGGTTCGGAAACATTCATCTTTTTGGAGAAAACCATGTTTCTTGATTGCGTTATTCCCAATATGGGTGACATACGATAGAAGGTCGCCTGTTGATCTTTGTTTCCGAAAGCCATACTGATGATCGCTCAAGATGTTGAAGCCTTCCAAATATTTGAGGATATGATGGTTTAGGGCTTTCTCCATGACTGGTATATAGTTATTTGGGAGTTTTCTTGTCGTTTTTGGGAATAGACTGAACGCAAACATTTTCCAATAAGACGGAAAAACTCCTTTCTTATAACGTAGGTTGTAAAGTCTGCAAAATACTGGCGCGAGTTCATTTGCACACTTTTTAAGTACGATGACAGGCACTCCATCAGGATCAGACGCCTTATTCATATTGAGCTGTTTCAAAATTCGCCTGACTAGACGCTGTCGAAAAGTAATTTTCGGCATTGTGGATTCTAGTGTGGAAATGTTGAGTGGTGCTTTTTCCAGAAAATCGACTGTGGAATGGGACGCAAATTGTTCAGCTAGTAGATTTGCTTTTTCTATGGCCGTTGTTGCAATTGAACCATCCGCTTGTCTTAGTGATGGAATTGTGGATTTTGTAAAGTTCTGATTAACATCATTAGCTACCAACCAGAAGGATCTAGACCCGTTAAGATTGGCAAGCAGTTTGTCCCTAATTCTCTGATTGTGAAATTCTTTACTTTCATTTATCCAAGTTTGCAGCTATTGCGAGCATTAACAAACCTAGTTCGGTTCTCGGCACTGGGATTTTTGCGCCAATGGCGGTAGGTGTGAGATTCTTGTAGGCGACAGCTTGCTCGCAATTTTTGTTGAACCAAAGTTTGCCGTTAGAAGATCGTTTCATTGAAAAAGGAATATATGCATCCATGGATTATAGAATAATTTCCGTGACTTCAAAAGCACAAGTTGATGGATCTTTAGAGCTGAAACAAACATCTAGCCAGGGGAAATTTCGGAAATGGTCTTGAAGATCCGCCCATTCAGCTGATCTGTAATCCCAAACTTTGCGCGGCTTAGATTGTTTGCGCGGCTTAGAGTTTGTGGTCAGAAGATCCCAATGGAGACCTTACGGTGATTGTAAATTTCTGGATTGGTTGTTGGGTGTAGGTACATGGGTGTAGCATATTCTCCATCACGGTCAGGAATCCTGGTTGGCTCATTTATAATCTGAGCAAGTCCGCTGCTTATTGCAAAAGCCTCAGCTTCGCGACTTTGTTCGTGGTTGATATTTAAAAATTTTGGCACTGGGATGATTGAGTTGCAGAAAGTCAATGGTGTTTGCAAGTGAAGAGAATAGTTCCCCTATATTGTGTTTTGCTAGCTGGTCGATAAACGCAACATATGAATTTGGTGATCTTCTGTGATATTATTTTGAACCACATAACATCGAAGTTTCGGGGTTCCAGCGTTTCCTCTCGTTGACAGGAGACATCGCTTCTGATAAAAAGAAATATTTCAAAATTACATCTGAATCAGAAGTAGAAATCATAGCCGGGCTATAGAAAATTGACAGGGTTTGTTGAAGCACTGACTTTGGTTTCTGTGAGTGTAAGAATATGAGGACTATTTGATTGCATATGTTGGTGCACTGAGTTTATATTTGAGATGAGTCCTCTAATGTTGCAGAAATCGATTTTGAAGTTGCTAGAGGGCCTCTTAGCAACTGCAGTTACCATAATATTTTTCTGATTGGGGAGCTATTTTACCTCCGGAGTATTTTGACCCTAGGAGCGCCATCATGTATTTTTTTTAATCATCAATTTTATCGAGAGATCTTTCTGCAAACGGTTTCGGATATATATTTTCCTTAAAATCAACTTCAATAAGAGTTATTCCTTTTCTGAACCAAGAACTGAATTGCAAACAGTCTTTGTCGTAAAATACAGGCATCTAACTATGACCATTTTAACACTGTTAGCTATTAGATTCGCAGTGAAAATATCAATTAGTGTAAGTTCTCAATGATAAAATGTTTTTTATTGATTTTATGGTCGCCCCTTTGTAAGGTGAATACATGGGGTTCTTTAGTGTTCAAGTAATTTAAGCATATTTATGTCATGACAACTTATGAAAACGTTAGCCATTTATAGAAAAATGCTAAATAAATAATTACGATCAAATAAAAACGATCCTGGGACACCCTTCAGTAAATTTACGCACTGAAGATCTTTAAAGTTTTTCTTTCAACAATTATCCAGTTTTTCAACAGTAGCTTCTGCTATTAGGTTGTTTCAAAAGTTGGGTCCGTTTTTATGTGCCTACTATAAACTGTAATATCTCAGTGAAAACTTTTTCAATTCATTCGAAATACGCCCCATTTGAATCAGTGTACTTTCGCCAATGTAACACATGTCGATTAATTTCGTCAGCATAAAAATTGTGTGCTCGGGATTTGATGAAGTCAACGAAAGCCGTTTTTGTCTGATCCTAATTCGCAAAGGTTCAACTGATGAGAGAATTATCGAAGTGCTTGAAAAGATGGTAGTCGGTAGGCGAGAGGTCTGGGTGGTTGAGGAGGAACTTCGATGCTTGATTCGTTTAATTTTCGGACGGTGAATTATGAGATGTGCAGACGGGCGTTGTTGTGGAGCAGGATCAGACCTCTTCTGTTGTCCAGCGCCGGCAGCTGGACACAATAGGACTATGTTGTGATGGTTTGGTCCGGTTGTAGAAAATTATAGTGAACCACACCGGCCACTGCCCACCAAACAGTAACCATGGTGTTTTTTGGTGGATTTTCGCGACGATCCGATCCAAAAAAGGATCGTGTAGGTTGCACAAAAGCAAAGAAGAGCGGACCTTGAAACGTGACAATTTCTGTCGATCGTTCAAATCGTGAAGCACCCACTTTTCAAGCTTATTGACCTTTCCAATACGTTTCGAACCATCAATTGCATGGGATCCATCCTATGTACCGTTTGTAATGGGTCAGTCTCCACCAGGGTCATCAAATACTCGTCGTAGTTTACTAAAGGTCGACCTCTTCTTTGTTCATCTTCCAGGCTAAAATCTCCGCAATGAAATTTCGCGAACCAACGTCAAACAGTGTGTTCGTTATTAGGCAGCGCTTTGGTTCAATTTGAGTTTGTAGAGGAAAATTGGCCAAAAATCGCTTAACGACATCATATAATAATATAAGCTACAGAGAGGCGAAAAATTGAAATTTGGAAAATAATGAACAGCATCAATGAATAGAGTACAAAATTCTCTATCGATCAGTATGTACCACGACACAGTAGAATAAATATTTATTGGGATATGAAGCTACACAAACACATGACATTAAAACGGAGAAAACCTTTAAAACAAACTAATATATTAACTGACCAGCAGAGCCCAACCAGACACTGTCAAAAATTGTTTTGATACTTAAATTATTCATTTTATTTTTAACAAGTCTTTCAGAAACCACTGAATAATTGAAACGATTTTCCAAGAACTTGATTCCTTCATTGAAAATAATCGAAGAATGAGGATTAATAATTAATATAATTTTAAGAGTAGTTCAATTTTATACATACCTACCTGAAAAAAAATTTCTATTCATTTGAAGAATGAAAATGTGGTTTCGCTTCTTATACAATGTTACACTGAATCATTGAATTATACAACAAATTAATTATTTCAAGAAACAATATACTTCTGAAAAAACCCTGAAGTTGGCCAACATATATTTTTGAATGCAAATTTTTCAATATATCACACCCCGACATAAACAATTAAAAAAAGAAATCGTTTTTAGAGAAAATCCTTAAAGATTTTTCTAGGTAAGACGTGAAAATTCCAAAACTTTTTTGTTAGATGTGCTCAATTGAATGATTGGCATTCCTTGAATATAGCAGTGGATGTAAATAAGAATAAAAAAAGTTATAAGATTTAACAGATTTCATTGTGTATAAAGAAGAATGGCGGTTTTACATTACAATTCAAATAGACTGAAAACAGTTACATCAATTTTGAAATAACTACAGCAACAATAATGCATTAGAGTGCTGTCTAGTACAAGTTTTGAGTGACTACTCTAATTTCACACAGATAAAACTAAACTTTATGGCAGCTAACATGAAACTGAGTTCTAGGATTATGATGGATGTGTAGATACTATACATGCAGAGTAATACAGTGAAAACTGATATCATAAAGAATAACTTACGTAAAAAAAAGCATCTGTTCAATTGCACAACGCCATACATGTCGACAGGCTTGCCCAGATGGGCATTTGAATCCAACAGTATGTTTTTTCTGAAAATAAAAAGCAAAAAAGTTGCTTTATTTTTTTTTTGAGTGGATATTACAGTACAGTACAACCAGTTCAATCAAGTGAATAGAATAGATTAAAATACAATACAACGAAAAGGAGTGTGAATACATGAAAACTTATTGAACTTGATGCAAAAAATGATTCAAACTTTTCCCATATTCACTACTGATTAGAAAAAGATGAGCTATTTTCTTTAATAAACTGGAAACTAGGCAATATAGACGATAAGCTATGTCTCATGAAAAAACACTGATATTGATAATAAATAGGTTCTGGAAAACCTATAATTTGTTAAAATTTTGAAATTTAATAATTTCTCACAGGAGGTTTCTGAATTATGTAAAAAATTAGCCATCATCAGAACCCAAACTATCCTCATTCAACTGAAAATACTTTTGAATAGTTTCTTTACAAAATTGAAAATTATCCTGACAGATGATCTGAATATAAATTCTACTGGCACATTCAAGATACATTTGAATTCACATATAAATCTTCTGCCTTTGATGGGACGATAGCCTGGTGGGTTGTCGTGGGTGATTTGCTTCACTCACTCAATTAACCAGTGTGTGAACCAGTGGTTCAAATCGCAAGGCCGGACGATCGATTTTCAATGCCTATCGTCGAACCCGTGTTAGGAATCACACGTTAGAAGGTAAGACCTCGTTTGTCCTTAGTTCGCTGAAGTTCCGACTTTTGAGATTTGTCGTTCGTAGGGGGGGGGCGACAGCTTGTTAACGGAAAAACAGATTTCAACAGAACAGATATAACCTTGAATGTTGAATCTGGCATATTAGAATTTCACAATATGATAGTAGGTACAACTATCGACAATGCTTGCATTAACATAGAATCTCAGGATATAAAGTGTTCAGTTGTATAGTATTTGTTTGTTTGATCATGAGGCAGCCAATAATAATACCAAAATAAATATAAAAATGAAAAACTTAGCTACTGCATTCCTTAACCAGAAAATTAAACATTTGAAGCATTTATTAAGAAAGGGAATAATGTATTCAGTAAGACAACATGAAGTATTCATTCGTAAGAGTGTCAGAGGTAGCTTTTATTTGTTGTTTAATGTTCAGAAATCAGTAAAATGAGCGTCAGTTGTCGCACTAGCGGTGGAGCCTAAGGAGACAACATGAAAAAGTCATTGGAATAAATCTGCGCAGATGATTTTTATACCAGACAAAAAAATATCAATTTATTGTTTCAATCACATTTTTCAAAAAATAATTGCCTGTATTGACGAGGGAGGGTTATATGTCAGTCACGTGCATTTCATACCTTATGAAATTCATACAAATAAATCATTATACTTTTTGACGGGAAAAAAAACCGTCAGTCAGCGCGATAAACATTTTAGAAAATAAACTGAAGATCTTTACATCCACAACCAATTAGCTGCCGACGATTTATCTTTTATTCTAACATTCAAATTCTCAGACCCCCTGGTTGGGCGATATATTTTTGGTATTGCTGTGAATAGTTTGAATTACTAAGAATGATATTTATGTTCATCACTTACATCCATCTACGAAAAATTCTCTACAAATGGAGTTTTCATAATTATCGAAATGGGTATATGTCGTGTAGATCATGTCCGATGTTATACATAGGCCAAACTGGAAGGGCATTTAAAGCATGCATAAAAGAATACAGAATGGAAAAATGAACTCAACTCACTCACACACCATTGGCACTTTAGCGTTTTTCATCGATAAATCATTTATTTTTTCGTATATCTAGTATTCTTTTACACTTTTCTGAAAAACGAATGAAGCGGTTCATTCCTTTTTAAACAAAATATACAAATTGGGTTTGTTTTCGCAGACATTTTGGATACTATACCTTTCGACAGGACAGCACAACAGAAACTAAATAAACTAGTCGAAATATCTGCAACAGAGGGTAGTATTTCTCGTTTATTCATGTAAGTTTGTTTCACTCCATTAGGGTATACTTATAACTGGTTATTCTACGTGAAAACCAGAATAAATTTTCAAGAAAGATATGTTAGAGAAGTGAGACTTTGACTACTTCAAATTCCTTCATGTTATAATACATATTAGGTAATATTATTTGAAACCGATACAAAATTGATAAATATAATGTGGTGTTATTTATAATGAATTAATATTATACTTATTGAATTCGAAGTTCACGATAATTTTAATGTAAAAAAAAACGAAAAATCGTCGTCTGCTGATTGTGTGTGTAAAGATCGTCAGTTTATTTTCTAAAGAGACTATGCAACGCTTAAATGCAAAAACATACATGTATAATTATCATGAGGTATAAAATAGATTTATTTGTAGAATGTACAATGAGGTTTGTGCACGTGACCGACATAATATAACCCCCCTTGTCAATACAGCTGATGATTATTTTTTCGAAAAATATGATTGAAACGTTAGTTCAATACTTTTTTGCTCAATATAAAAATCATCAGAGCAAATTTTTTTCCAATGACTCCTTTAGCTTCACCGCTATCGGACCAGCTGACGTTCGAAGTGGTTATGTGTTAGGAAAGATGCCAGCAGCAGAATGAAAGAGTGCTGGAAAATAAGTAGTAGAATCTGAAATCATCCCTGATATTATTGATACTAATTATTGCTCCAATGCAAATAAACCGAAACAGTGTATTATTTATGATAGTAAAAGACTTTGAGCAGTCGTTGATATTATCAGTGCAGTCAGTAGAATACTCAGAATTGTAACAAATTAACTGACTGATTATCGAACGCAAAATCAAACTTTTGGTGATTAGTTGTGTGGACTTTGATATAGAGTGGATTTTACAACTTCAGAAACCGCAGTCTATCACAGACCTGTACAGCCAGTCATCGAGTTTGGGGATCAGCATAGCAAAGTAAAGGCCATGTTCAAAGTTGTACTCATTTTGCTATAAGTTCAGTTTTAATGTCACTCAATGAAATTTTGATTGCACTTGAAATTTCTCAGATCCTTTTCTTACACAAAAACTCAATTCTATAAGATGACCTATTCTAAATATTTTCACAAATCAATACACAAGAGATACGGAGCTTGCCTACCGTCTGCCATCAATCTGTAGTGTTTATACAGGTGAATTATACGCCATAGATCAAGCCGTAGCACACTGTGAAAGACTGTACGGCAACTCTGTTATTATCACGGATTCTCTTAGCGCAATTCATGGAATCAGACAGTTATACCCAAGGAATTCACTACCTACTTGTCCGTATAAAGGAAAGGATATCCAAGCTAATGCAGAATCAAAAATGTATTAAACTTATCTGGATACCTTCCCATACTGGAATCAGAGGCAATGATAAATCCCATGCAGTCGCTCGCAATGCTACAGTTACTCCTTCCGCAACACTGTTTGAACAAATTTCCCACTCAGATTACTTTAAAATCATAAAGAAACTAATAGCAAACACCTGGAAAGAAAGATGGATGGCCATGGAATAAAATAAATTATGTGAGATAAATCCCTACATGCGCTTCCAGAACTACCAATCAGCCCAACGAAGACATCAAGTCATTCTTACTCGCATCAGAATCGGACACACAAGACTAACACACCAACACCTTTTGAAGAAAGAAGATACTGCGGAGTGTGATATTTGTGGTGTGATCAACAGTGTGAAACACATTATCCTGGAGTGCCCAGTTTTTAAATATGAAAGACAAGAAGCAAGAAATCTATTCATATATTACATAAAATTAAAAGAAATTTTTCAATTTCCATCATGAAGAATAAATTGTTTATACTATTTCTTGTATTTGTTCTATTTATATGAATGTGACTATTGTGCCTGGTAGAATGGTGATGAATGTCCTTATTGAAAGTTATTAATGATAGCAAGTATGGTGGGGTATTTTTTTTAATATTTTATTAATGGAACAATAGAATAATCTTTTGGATACTGAGAGCCATTGTAGAGCAGATAACATGGTAGAAATTGGTGTATACCTATTAAATTTGTTGCACTTTGTGTGCACTTGTGTTGCACAAATAAAAAGAGAATAAAATAGATGTACAGTAGTCGAAATGGGGTTGGATTATTATTGATTTATATACCATAATTTTTGTATCTATTGATAAATTATTGGCGATTCTTGAGAAAAAATATAATTTTTTGCAATATTTTTTTGATATACTTGAAGTGGTCGTCGAATGATAAGCAATTATCAAGTTGAAATCTCAAATACTTCACTGATGTTACCATTTCTATACGTTCATCTTCAATTTTTATATTTATGTTGTTTGTATTTATTTGAAAATCATTTTATTGATTTTCAGATATTTTTCTACTTTCTCTAAAACCTTATTCATTCTGCCAACAGTTTCTCTAAATTTACTCCAGTACAGGACAATAAGGTATCATTTGCAAATAAGTTGATGAACTCACAATCTGTAAATAATTGTGTATCATTCAGATACAGAATGAATAATGGGGGACCAATCACACTACCCTGTGGTACTCCTGTGTGATTTGTTATATATGATGAAATATAATCGTTCACACATACTCTCTGTGTCCTATTTGATAAATAGTTACTTATCCATTCATAAACCATCCCCTCCACCCCATATCTTCTCAGCTTCTGAAGCGAAATACTTATATAAATCGTCTTAAAGGCCCTTTTGAGACAGCTACAACATATTTACCTTTATCTGTTTCATTAGTAAATTTAGTTAGCGATAACTGTAGTGATGTAACACAAGATTTTTTTTTCAAAAACCAGTTTGATTGATAAACATGATTTGATTTTTGTCAATAAACTCTAATAATTGATTATATACTGCTATTTCTAAAACTTTCTCTATTGGCGGTAAGGTATTAATATGTCTAAATTCACTTGCTTTTATAGTGTTTGTAACTTTAGGTATGGGTATAATGGTACTTATTTTTAATAATTCGGGCAATTGACCATTCTTTTTCATGGATACTACATTTATTATCTAATGACCCAATTATATTATTCAAATCTGTTAAAGTAATCAATCTAAAGGTGCTGAAGGGCAAATATAATTATTATCCGAATTGAACGATGGTCCAGAATTCCCAATACCTTGGACTTTATGTTGGATGCTGTTCACAAAGTATAGGTTGAAAGTTTTGGCCTTGTCAGGTTCACCTTTTTACGTACTTACTACCCCTTCATCTTCAAATCATCATCACAACAATACCAATGTGGATAGTTTTCAGAATATTTACTTGCTCAACTCACTGATCAACTTGAATATCAAAATTAAAGGGTGATTCCAAAACAGTGCGAACAGTTTTCGGAAATGTACTCAATTAAATTAGTTAAAAGCAGCACAACAAAATCGAATTTTTCGTTTCTTTCACTTCAAGGCTTCTACTTAAACCTAGTGCCCAAAATCAATAGCGCTTTTTCAATCCCCCATAGGTCTCAACAGCGGTACTAGACTGAACAGCAAATGCATTGCTAGACTCAACTGACCTCACTGCACAAGACTGAGTAAGCTGAGGTGAAGACATCTCCCTTTGAAAAGATGCCATCTATCAAATCGATAGAAGACTCAATCTTTGAATATCAAAGATAAACGAGACTCTCCAAGACAGTCAGTTGCAAAGCCAAGCTTCAACATCTACTGCAGAACGAGATTCATTCTCGGTTTTTTACTGCAGTTTTCACACTACTCAAACTAGACAGCGCTGTTTTGACCTACTATAGCTCTCATCATGGGTGCCAGGCTGAACCACAAGTACCTTGTAGGACTCGACTATCCTTGAAGAGCAAGTCTCAGTAAGTAAAGGCGTTGACACCTCCTCTTACGAAGATGCCTTGTTTTTTTTTTTAATTTATAATAAAATGTTGTGGATGTTCATTTATACTATAAAGAAACTTGGTTCAAGGAGCTAAGTCAATTTATCTGTAAATAACACTCATTACAAGGGAAGGTTCAATTACTAGATTAGTGTAGAAGCCAAAATTGGTAGAGATATAGCAGAAAGTACAGTGAGCAACATACTGATAGTACCTACAGGAAGGGATTGAGGTGGGAAGGAACGTCTCCAATGGTTTCCTTTTTTACTATCACAAATAACTCAAAAACTTCGGCACCTAGCAAAAAAAATGTTTACATAACTAATTGAATAATCTACAAAAAGTTCTCTGCAAAAAGCTTTCTATATATTGTGTTGCTAAGGTTAATACTCAAAAAGATATGGAGGGAGGAAATGGAGTTATGGTTAAAAAACCAAGTTTTGATAATTATCGAAATGGGTATATGTCGTGTAGATCATGTCCGATGTTATACATAGGCCAAACTGGAAGGACATTTAAAGCATGCATAAAAGAATATAGAATAGAAAAATGAACTCAACTCACTCACACACCACACAAAAATCCTTCATTTACAAAAGAAATGGTAAAAACGTAGCCTTCTGGAAATTCTGAAAATCAATAAGTTCCGAAGATCTCATTATCATAATTGAACATTCGATTTGAATAACTCGCCTCTGCTAAATTTGTTTTTACCAGGTAATCATATTTAGAATCTCTTGCCACATTTACTATACAATAATTATTAGTTTTTGACCTGCTTTTATCAGGACTCAGCAAACCAAAAATCAATTCTCTATGATGATTTGCCACCAGAGGATAACCCAACTCTCGACATAACACAAAACCCCAATATCATAGATGAAAGTTTCCATTTCCATCATGTTAAGTGGAATCCATGCTTCATCATTTTAGACGGCTGAGCAAAACTTTCACCTCAGTTCAGCAGGAATCACAGTTCAGCAGGAATATTTTCTCGCAAATGAAAAGAATAAATCCAAACTCATCGACTTCCCTCAAAAAAAAAGCAAGAGGCATGGATAGAAACTTTGCTATTGAAGAATATGTTTGTCACCATTGTAAAGTGTGTCTTGGAGAAAGCACTTCTACATCCAGACATACTTCAATTGGAGACGATGTAGATTTTATAGTCCCACTTCTTGAATTGACACCACCAGACTGCCAAAACATTTTCTTCATGATACCAGGCCACCAAATAGTGGCCTAGTATTATTAGGAAGGCTGTTTGCAGCCTTCAACAGCTTTTCTTTGTTAAAAAGTTTTTCTGTATGTGACACTACCTTGACAATTTATGGGAAAAGTTAAGGCAGAATGGTCAGGATATCGATTTTTTTCAACTTTTTTCCATTTCCTCACCGTATCTTCTCCAGTATTGATCTTAGCGAAGAAGTGCATAGAACAAACTTTTATTTATCGATAATTTATTGTGGATTAAACAGTACTATTGGGTATATGTAGACATATATGAAAGAACCCCTGGCCACAATTTTTCAATTCAGTTTTTCTTCCATATATATGACTGCAAACTACAAATCTGTCGTTTGTAAGTAACATTTCAAAACAAGAATTATAAGAAGTTCCCTGATAAATGTTGAAATATACAGTGTATGAAAGTAGGAAGTACTTACATCGTTGTAATTTAAATGAATGATAAACATTTTTCCTTCATAATTTATTTTTTGTATATCAGGCCACCTGAAGTGATGTGTTTTTCTACTTCCTTGGAAAGTCAAAATCCCACTGTAATTTATACCTAGGTAGAGCTGACTTCTTTTGTGGTCCTGTAACAGACCCTTTTGAACAGAAATTATAATAGCAGATCCAATAATTTATGTAGTACTTTTACAGGATGAGGATCAACTCCATAGGAGTCAAGATGACAAGCTATTTTTAAAAAAGCCTGCTCCACCTGACTCTGACTCTGGCCTTTGAGTTGTTTCTGGTGGATTTCCATTGCCTTTTCTTCTATTGCTTCTGTCTGTTTCAAAAAGATTTTCATTTCAGATATATAATTGCCAACATGAATTTCTGGATCATAATCACCAAGCTCCCCTGAAACAGAATATAAAGTAAATCGTGAGACACATAAATTAATTCGTTGAAGTTCATTAATTTGAATGAAAATAACCTACTTAACAATTTCACATTCGAATATATTTATATTCATAATATAAAATTGTAAGTTCTTTTTATAATCACAGAATAGCAAAAACTCATGTTGCTTTGTGTCAAGCTTTTTGTCCTGACTAAACAGTAATTTTAGCTTCTCCCCGAATATTTTTATCATTTCATATCGGAGGCTCAGGGGCCATACTCCGTTTATCTTCGTTGTCCTCCTAGTAAACGCTAATATGTTCGATCTGAATGAGCTTTTGTTGAACTCTTCTTCCTTGGTCCATCTCTTTATAATATTGAAGGAATGCATTCGTCATCTCACTAGGTTTTTTTAAACACAAAACACTAGCACTACAGAAAAATCCTCAAGGAGCTCTAAAGAGCGGTGCCTATGCGAAAGTAGCGATTCACATTGGATTTGAATCGCTGAAGATTAAATCCAGTTGGAAAAACGTTCTCAGGAAGTTTATTCCGCTCAAGCTCAGTTCTTCAAATGAAGAGTTCTTTAACAGTGAATTTCGAGATGTACTGAGTTGATCCTCAAAACGATGAGCAGCCACAGTCAGTCGCGTATTTCTGATATTTACTCATCACCTAGAATGATTAATTCATCTGCACAGCCCAGTTCTATATATCCAGTCTGGTCCAGAACACATAGTAACTTGTTCCCTGCAGCTTGTATTGTTAATCCCTCTTATGTTCGACATCTGGATGATTGATTCTAAGGGTGTACTAACGAATACACTGTCAATATTAAATAAATCAGCAGAATGTTCTTTCTTGTTCTTGTAAGTATATTCTGCTTTTTCCATGATCCATTATAAAACTGTTTCCATTGACATGCCTGACCTGTATGTACATTGGTATAAGAGAGTTTACTAAAGCAATGACTTTAGCATGTGTGAAACATTCATTCTAATTTACTGAAAGGATAATTCAGTCTACTTACTGTTCAGAGTTGTGTATGCAACAAAGTAGGATGCAACATGCAATAACTTTTAAAGGTGATGACACCTCATGTGTGAGATTGTACTTGTAGGTAGATAAAATTGTTGGGAGATAATTTTGAATCTGATAACTACAAATGCAAAATTGTTCAAGGTATGATGAACAATTTTTTAGCATGTATGTATATGATAATTTAAAAATAAAGATCATGCTTTCACATGTAATCTTTGGGATGGGATGGGATGTATTCAACATACTTGATATGTTAGTTAGTTTATATACTTGTACTATAATCCACGAATCTGTAAGTGGACACGTTGTTATGGTCAAGAAAGTGTAAAAGACAAGTAGTGTAGTCAAAAAGTTGAGTTGTGTTATACATAGTATTCTTCCAATTGGAATATACCGGTCACCTTACTTCATTGTTGTGTCTTTAGTATTCCCTGTAACGAGTTATACATGATGTCAGGTTACTGAGGAACCTTCGCATGTTGCTGAGTGGGGAAGAAAAATTGTGCTTTTCCAAGCTTGTGTGTTTTTCTTGATCGGACCCTTGTTTGCTGATTGGAAAAAGGTGTGACGCTAGTAGTGCCAAAAATAGAAAACTGTCTCAAACTCCCGTAACCGCTTGTGCTAGATAAGGATATTTCAGATATTTGAAAGAAATTTTCCAAAAGATTTGATTTTTTCTGCAGAGGCCCCAAAGATTTGGATAGTAAAGTGGAGGATAAAAAAGTGGCGTGGTTTTTGTCTCTAGTTGGAGACGACGCCTTGATTTATGTAACAGTTCCACGTTTGAAGCAGGAAAAGATAAAATTACAAGATCACAGTGATTCCCAATATCACTGTACAGAAAAAAGGACAGTCATTTGAAAATTTTTTGACTGACCTCAAAAAAACTGTGAAACCCATTGATTACCCCAGCCAAGAAGAGATGATTTGTGACAGAAGAGTCATAGGGTTAAGAGATAGTTTCAGAAAGGAAAAATTGATGGGAGAAGCTAGTTTAACGTTGTCAAAAGCAACTGATTTTTGTAGAGTTTCAGAAATCAGCAAAGATCAGGTTAAGAACTTGGATAGTTGATGGCCTGAGAGCAAGTACATCTGGTACACAGTCAAGAATGCTTCGATAAACTAACATTATGATGGAAATACTGGTAAATTTCTCATAGTGTACTATCTGCCCTTGTGACAACTAAGACATGGCAGTGACAATTATGATCCATAATTGTTATTATTCAAGGTAACTATCAATTGTGATCTATTCATATTGGAATCTCAATGTATTTCATTTCATACATGAATGAAATTTTATGAAAAAGTTGAACTCTTATCACTCAAAAGAAATGTCCAGTTGTTGTGGAATTAGCCCCGGTGGTAGCGCACCCAACTCACGATTGGAAGGCCGTGGGTTTGATTCCCGCCTCGATCAGATATTTTTCTGAGAGAATTTATCTGGTTGAAGCTGGGATGATTCTGCAACCGTGTTAGGAATCACACGTTAAAAGGTAAGACCTCGTTAGTCCTTAACGGATCTGGAGGGTAAAATTTCACACGAAAACTAAATAAAACTGGGTCCAGATCTTTAACTTGCTTGCAGATCGACTTTCCTAAATCCAGCCAGTGCTAAAATCACTAATATCAATAAAACTGACAGGGTACTGATCATTTCCATTATTTACTCTCTGATCTTGATTGTCCACATATCGTAATCCCAGATAATCTTGTTCAATGAGATTCAACTGCTGGCAAACATATTCTAATAAATATTTACCCTTATGATGAGGCTTAAAAATTAAACAATATTATTGGAGTACCTATTAATTTATTCAAACCTACCTTATACTCGCATTCTAAAATTTCTGTGTCTTCTAAAAGTCTTACAGTACATTTGAAAACAATATTGCTATCATGTTTTGAGCCAAACTTTAACATGTTTCACCGTTACCATATGTTAAAATAATGGAATTGAGTAACTTGAAAAATATTAATGAAATAATATTTTGATATAAACTTCAAAAAGAAAGTTACAACAATTTTGATGAATTAACATAGTTCTTGTATTTATTTTGTCCTCATGACATTACCAAATGTCAATTTCTACTATGCAGACTATGCTACTAGTCACTGTCACTAGTCAAATTCTAATTGACTTAAGTCTCTCCGTGATGTTGCCGATGTTGATTTGTTGCGTTCGTATTCGAAAGTCGTACTATTACCCCTGTACATAGACTCATTTAGGTAGTATTTCAGCAACCACTGCAGAAGCGGTGGAATTTGGATGATTTTATTGTTCGGGTAAAAATTACTATAAAATCGTAGTCGTTATGTCCATGTATATAGTTCGACTGCTCACATTATATAAGCTCTTTCACACCGCCTACCGACCGCCCATTCACACCGGGAGTCTTTCTAGTTCCTGGCTCCTTGAGTTGTAGAATGGATCACACGCGAGCTGTTGCCTTATACCTGCTTCACCGTCGACACAAACCTCGACGACAGAAACGTCAATGATTAATAATGGGATGGATAAAGTTGCGAAATCTACGTTGAATACCTTGCAGAGATCCACCCAACTTTTTACGACTCCATTTCAGTCCTTATAAATGTCGAGACTTTTATGCCAAAGAGTGAGTCGGTTGCAGATAGCACTGATTAACAGCTCCACATCGTAATGTGTCATAAGAAATATTGTGGAGCGTCAGCAAGGAAGAGCAGTTTCCACTCCTCGTGTGGAAGCCCCCACTCATCCTTTTGCATTTTGAGCAGGAGACGCGGCCCCGGTTCGAGGTGCAGGAGACGTGAGAGCTCTCGTTTCCCGGGACGTGACGGTTCCCGCTCTTTGTCTGAGAGCTCCATTGGACTCGTTGAATTTTGACGCTAAGAGCATTCCTCTCTCTCTCTCGGGAGCGAGAGACGTGAAGCTTCCCGTGTGAAAGGGCGCTTATCGTCATCAAATTATTCCAATCATACTTTCGTATACAACGTCATTGAACATCAAATCACAAACATGTTTTCTTTTGAAAGTATGATGTCGTCTACTACATAACCTCTATGATGATTTATTTATAGATGAAAATAAAATGGAATGACTGTATTTATAATAACAATATGCATAAAAGGAAAAGAGTTAGCCAAAGGCTATCTTCCACCCCTCCCAAAAATTATACAGCGAGTGTAAGAAAATAATTATAAATATACTTATTTACTATCATAACAATGATAGAGAAGAGAAAAAAATGATATATCATATAGTTGCTAATAACTCTTGATATTCTCAACATTATTTTGGTCAATTTAACAATTTCATCGCACTTCCATACAGTGACTTTCAAATTTTTTAAAGTAGCACTGAGCAGTAAGCATCTGTGATTTTATTTTTTCCTTAAATTGATAAATATTATGATTGAAAAGGGGTTAAATTTCATTCAGATGAGAAGGGGCTATATAAGAAAAACATCCTTGAAATTTGGAAGTACGGTGCCTATAGGTATGTTGAATGAGTTAATTCTCAAATTGACCATATGTAAACCATATAAACTATAACCATAAACCATTTAAACTATATAAATAACTAGGTGTTTTAGTTTGAGGCAACTTAAACAAAAAAAAAATTATCAAATTTCTCATTGCCATTTTTGTTGCGGAAGCACCCATATCCACCAATCATCAAAGATGATATGATTATGCTATCATTTTTAAACATCCTTTGCCTTCGGAGATGGTTTTGAAATTATTTCAATATTTGACAGATGTGACGTCATCAACGTTATTGTAGGCGTTTTCTGGCGCTCATGTATTCAAACCGTTTTCGTCTGATTCTCGCATTGAAACGATGGCGTCACATCAACTATAATTTGAAACATATTCATCATGATTCAACTTTTCATCAAATACACTGTAAAGATCTACAAAATAAAGCTCGAAAGTTATCACTTGTACAAATCCGATTATAATTGAGAAAATTGAAAAGTTTGTTTTCATTATTGAATTTGACATCTGACAAAAATTGAATCATTCCATTCTGGCGAATCTTATTATTAATGACGTAACTACGAATCGTTTTTGAATACACGCTCGAATACGATTAAACGCCAGAAAACACCTCAATTCAACAAAAATATATTTTCAAATGAATTGAAATAATTTGACGCCAAAATAAAGCTCATATTTCTTATTTCAAAATGGAGGTCACGTAAATCACGTTTAAGATTTTGTTAAATATGGATATAATTGTGAGATATCGGAGGATACTCTGCCACTCAGTAAACATGCATTCATTCAACCGATACATTTTGTCATATCTGTTATATCTCTCTTAGTAAATCACATTTATTTTGAGAAGGAATAGCCATATATTTGATACTAGGTATTGTTTGTTTTTTCAGTTAGTGGAGATTTGATTATAGGTATTTAGGTATAATTATGATTAAAAACAAAGGAGATGACCAAAATCTTAGAGGACAGAAACGTATTGTCTGTTGTAATTGCGTATTATTTTCTTAACATTTTCTATAGGGCATTTATTATGATGGATTGACTTCAAAAAAATAAAGAAAGTAAGATTTTCTTTTCCAGCTTCCCGAGTAATATCACCAGATTCAAATATTTTTTTGTATTAGGCTCTCGATTGCAAATATTATGTTTGAAGGTGATTGACAATGTTTCATGATGAATTTCACTAGTTCGGACTTCCATTGTCTACTATATAAAATGATTTGAAATCCCTGAAACAACTAAAAAAGAAGAATTGAAAATGAATAGCTGAAAATAACAATTTAACAAAATTAGTTTTCACCATATTTCAAATCTCTTCGCATCATACAGAATATATCATTTGAAAATTTATATTAATACTCCCAGTCCGAGGCCTATTAATACTATATTCAACGCAATATGATAAACAGCGTCGGCCATCTGTTTTGAAGTTCTTTGTCGCAAGTCAATATTTCAATGGCTCCTTAGCGGCGTCCTCAGGAGGCATAGCGGGTAGAAATATCTCGGTGACTTTGTGGATGAATTGCAAAGCCACTTGCATGAGACGACTATGTAGCTTTCTTTGAGGTACCGGTGGGTTTGCATTCTTGAAATTCTTTTGCTCTCACACAATGCCGAATGTACTATAATACAGTATCAGTAGACTTGTCAACAAATTGTTCAACTTTTCTTGTAGGAAGTTAATCTACAAATACTGCCTTTATGTACATTTTACATGAGCCTCACCTGCAGTCCCTGCTTATAAACTTCATGTGCATGTCTGGATCATACTTTATGATATTAGAAATCCTATTTTCAATAAAATAAGAATGTTTTTGTTGAAATTGCAATCGAGGTTTACGCATGCTATTCTCGAGAAGTGCAACTGAATATTCTACTCTTTTTTTTGTATCTGATGAATCATTAATACACTTTTCCATTTCTGATGTGTGTGATGCACTGTTTGGAACCTTTGTTGTAGTCATGAATATTACTGAAGTTTTATCCCAACACCAAACCGTTATTTCAACACCTCGACACGTGTCGAGGTGTTGAAATTTCGAGTCTTCCAAGAGGAAGATTAAACTGAAGTTGATCACTTAGTGATCGAATCACGTGTCGAGGTGTCGAAAATACGGTTTGAGGTTGGGATAAAACTTCAGTAATATTCACTTCTGATATGTTGAAACACGATGTTCACATTTCCTCTATTCTTACACAAAATATGAATACCACAATGATACGTATTTCTCGCCTAGAATGCCACCATATACCGCCGCGATTCAAGTCAACTCATCCTTGCAGGTACCGGAAAAGTCTGCTTGTCTGATGTGTGTTGTGGTGTCACCCACTCACAACCTTTTTCTGCATACGAGTTCCACCTAGGTGTTTGCTTCCTGTAAATATTTTAAATATTCTCTCTTTTGCTATTTTTTCCGTTTCCACCCTGAATATTAATATTGGGTAGCTTGACAACAATGATGGACTGTTTTTTTAATGCTACTATGAAGTGGGATACCAACCATTGTGTTGTATCTTAATAAATAAAAGTTTAAAAAACTGAAGAATCACTCTACAATAGCAACCACAAATTAAAAAATAATTCGAAACTATGGCTTGATGTTACTGAAGATTTTTTAATAAGTCTTTGTTGCTATTGAAGTGTGTTTTTTAGTTTTTTAAACTATTATTTATTTTCCACTTTTTTACTTTCGCTTGCTATTTCAAGCCCATTTATTTCAATATGAAATATACACGCATGCACAAACAGTGTGGTTGTGTCACTTGCTCTCACACAGAGACTGTGTGAGGAAGCTATTTCATCCTGACGATCCTGATCAGGATAATGAGATAAAACTCATGAAATTATTGTATGGTCATCGATTCTTGATAAGTATACAAAGTTTAAAATACATCTGTCTGTTTCAAGTTAGTCAAAATCAAGTCCCAAGGAGTCGGTTACAAACAAACATAGGTAGGTACGAGTGAAGCTGATATAAGCATGTTAAAAAGCGCTTGAATTATATATTTTTGTTGGACGTTGGGTATACGGAATGGATACCAGCTTCATTACATATATGACTTCGTATTTTAAATGTCATTTCGCAAAATATTTTCAATGAATACAACGCTGAATACAACTACTTCCTTTCTTAACAAAACAAATATACTCAATTAACAAATGTCAAAATGGATTCTGCCCCAGAGATTATCTCGTAGATGGTTGTTTTTATAGTATTAATGAATATTTTGCAAATCCACATTCGCCAGTCTACAATTAATTTCATGTATTAGGTACCTATTTCGTCTATTATGTGTATGTATTGAAACTTTCGATTGCTTTTTTTTTCTCTGCACGAGCATTCACATGTGTTAAATGTATGTATTTTGTAATACTTTGTTTATATAAACTTTATGTTTCACCATTGACGACTCGTATATCTTTGTGAAATGATCATTTCAAGGAATGAATATATTGTATTGTATTGTACTGTTCCCATACCCCAGAATTAAACTCTCTTCTTGATGCGCGTTTAACGTGATGTTCCTATAGTCTGGTATATGGAAGAAGTAACTAAATTGTATGCATTTTGAGGCAAAGGTTACAGGTTCATCTTTTGGTCTAGTTGGTTTTCCTCAATCAGCTCATCGGAGCTGATTTTAAATAAAAGCAGTACAAAAATTTCAAAATTAGATAGTTTTTACTGAAGATATGAATATAAAAATAATGACATTTCTGGATTCAACAACTTTATCTCGGAATGAGGATGAGTTATGGCATATTATCATCCTCGCTTCTCATAAATTCTTCTATCTCTTGAACTCTAAAAAAAAACTTTTGAACTATAACAGAAAAACAAATATCTGTTACCTACGTTCTAGGTACCATTGTTAAATTTTCAATCCCATCTTTTGTGACCAGTACATCATCTTCTATTCGAATGCCTCCAAATGCTCTGAATCTCTGCAACACTTGGGGTATCAAAAATTTGGATTGTTTAGGATTGGTTAAAGCTTTATCCAGTAGCTGAAATGGTAAGTATTTTCAAAACAGAACCAACCGAAATATAATTTTATAGGTGAGTTTGGTAAATAGAAATTGAATCAATAATACTTTATCAACTTACAGAATCAATGAAATAACAGCCAGGCTCAATGGTAAGAACCATATTTTCCTCTAATATTCTAGCTGTTCGTAGGCTTTTAAGCCCCGGCCTACTAGGACGTTCAGGATACCCTTCAAGATAGCCACCAACGTCATGAACATCCAAACCCATCAAGTGCCCTAAGCCGTGCGGTTGGAAAATTGCTGCAATATCAGCCTCCATCATTTCATCTACAGATCCGCGCAAAAGTCCCCCATTTTTTAGTTCTTCCAGTAGGGTTCTATTCGCCAGTATGTGCATGTCGACCCAAGAAACTCCTGGTTTTCCCGCTTTCATAACTGCTAGATTCGCTTTTAGTACCGCTTCATAAATCAGTTTTTGATCAGGAGAAAATTTTCTACAGACTGGAAAGGTTACAGTTATATCGGCAGCATAGCCAAAATAGTTTGCGCCCATATCGAACAAGCTGAAAATAATTTTTTATTGTAGCAATTCAAAGTGAATATTTCATATATAGCCCACCATAAACGACCATCGACCAATTGATAATTATTGGGACAACCAGCGTGCCCATAATGAAGAACGGCTCCATTGGGACCAGATCCACAGATGCAGGTGTAAGATACATGCCTGCAACCTCCATTTTTGTAACAGAAATTCAAAAATTCCGACTCGCACTGGTATTCAAACAATCCAGATTTGGCAAAACGCATAACATGTCTATGAGCTTCTGACGAAACACGAACCACATATTTTATGACTTCGATTTCATACGGAGTTTTGATTACTCTCCTGGAAAGTGGCGTAAATGATA